CTTCTCCATTTCAGGCACCTGACGCTAAAATTTCTGCTACAGAAATATCGGGGTGGTATATGAGAGGGGTCTATGTGTTTCTTTTGGGAGAAAAGGTAGGAAAAGGCACTAGAGAGAAGGATATATAACCACATACCCTCTCTTTCATGTATGGCTGTTATCTCCCCTAGTGGGCGGGGCTCAACTTCACTCTTTTTATTTAAGCTGGGACACGGGTATTTTTTAAGCAGACAATGCACTAGGAAGTTTCCACCTGTAAAATTCCTGAGATCATAGAGGCTTCACACTCAGCCTTTCTTCTAGGCCAGTAAAGGACTGACTCTGGAAGCAGGTTACCCGGCCCTGACGTCCCGAACCTTTCCGTAGCCCTGTCGCTGCGCAGGCATCCAGACTCAATAAAAGGAAAACAAAAAGCACTCTGGCTTATAGGGACGATCTGAGTCAACTCAGATCTAATTCCAGTTGATAAGGACAAATAAAGAATAATCGATAAAGCCCAGTCACTGGGCCAGAGCGCTGACACTGGGCTGGCTCCTTTAGGGGGAGCTCTGGATTCATTCCTTCCCACGACTTCCTCAGCATTTGAACAGTAATTTGAGAGAATTTTAAATAAAATTACTTTATGGATTTATACTAGCATAATAGTTACCACTCTTTTGTTGCAACTATTTTAGCTCCATTTTGTTCAGATGAGTATCTATTACAAGGCAATATTTCAAATCCACTGTCAGTTGCAAACATTCGCAAGTAAATGAACACCTAAAACGAAAAAAATAATTCACATTAACTTTATATTAGATTGCCTATCCTGCTAGACTTTTCCAGAATTATAAAAGCAAACCACCAACAACAATGTAAAAAAATTTAGATTGGTAAGTAACAAATTCTGTTGGTATTTTATAATTGCCCATATTGAGTAATGGCCTGGCTATGTTACTCTAAAAGTTCACAATGAATTTCACTTCTACATGACAGTTTTCTCCTTGGATAGTCATACAAATGATCTTGTATGTTATTAGGTTTTCATGTGATTAGTTTTATGAAAAACGGATTTAAAGTTCTGGTGTTTACTAAAATTTAGGCTTTAGTCTCCTTTATTCTTATCCAAACGGATAAACAGCATTAATCTTATAAAGAAACGTACATGTTCCTTGAATAACTTCTCCTGCATCTTGCTCTTGTTGAGAAAATAGTGCCGTGCCCATTCGCCTGAAGTCAAACATTTGAAAGCTTTCTCCAAGTGCTCGTCTTTCTTAAAACGCTCAATTACTTCCTTTAGCTCTTCTTGTCTTCCTTTAATAGGCCGAAATCTGAAAATAAAAATCAAAACAATAACTTTAGTTACCTGCCATCACCTTTGGGCCACTGTTAAGAAGAGACCTTGAGAAAGAGGTAATCTAAAAACCACCAGACCTATAAAGGAGAATAAACAATAATCTTGATAATTATTACTCAAGTAATATTGATCACCGGGAAATATAATTTCTCTTTCTTCAAACTGCATTGTAATTATTTTATTTTACTGTTTTCTCATTAACTGAGAGGGGATCAGATGATTCAAACGAATGCTGTCTGATTCAGGCTTACACCCGTCATCTGCTTCGGAAGGTACAAAATCAAAGACCTAGAATAGAGCTCGTCTAGCTGAGTGTTGGAATGACAAAAAATTTTTAAAACATCAGAATCAAGCCAGGAGAGTGCCAAGTAATAAGCTTTAGAAAAATGATGAAACAAGAAAAATCATGCCATCAACAAAAACATTCTCTCTGCATATAGTTAGAAAAATCCCAAAATAAGTATCCCATTGGGTCTTGAAATACACCTTGATGTTCCAACAACAGGTCAAATTAACCTCTGACAACTACGTTCAGAAAACAAAGAGTGCAAAAAGTACAACTTTAACAGTGATATTGCTGTTTTGGTGATGTAAGAAAAAACTGTTGGGGTAGAAATTTAAAAGGCTTCTATTGTACAATCAGCCAGAATGACTTCAGAATATTACATTTGTAGCTATATAATAACATGTGATACAGTCACAGTCCAAGTAAGACTTAAGTTTGCACGCCCCGCATGCTGAAGTTATGATCTCAAAAAACACGTACGTATACTGTAATTGAAGGGATTTGGATCTTAATTTCAAAATGTCTTCTCATATTAACTTCATTTGGCATATTTTCCCAATTAAAGTTCTTTTTTTAAACATCCAACCAAAATAGGAATCACGGATTTCTATTCAATTAACATACATTAAGAAAAAATATTAATGGCTCAGGAGAAAAAAATATTTGAAGTATGCATCTTACTCCAACAATTAAAACTGTGCACTTCATAAACCTGAAATGCTACAACTGAGGTAAGATCTAGCACAAGTTCCAGGGAAGGAAGCATTCGAGCAGAATTTTTTTCTACATAAACTACCCTAAACGTGTTCATACCATTTCGGTAAAATTTTAAGCCACAATATCTCAGCCAGGATTATTCCCTAGGTGCTGCGTACACTGCCGCTGAGGTGAGAACAGGAGCGAGAGAAGGTGTGGCCACCTTAGCCACAATGACATCTAGGCTTCCCCTCCAGGCCAGTTGTTTTTAAGGAATACACAAACAGAGTTACGGTATGAGAAACTCCGCAAGGGGGAATTTAACTGGGACATACACATGCATCAAAAAGTTATATCAGGCACCCATGTGCAAATACATGTCAATGTGGTACAAACTGCACTGCTACGGCTCTTGAAAGTATGGAAATTATAAAGTAATATTTAGGAAGGCGTTTTGGAGTTAACATTGATATGGACAATGAGGAAAGTGGTGAATTCAGCTTTCTAAAGAAAAAGCAGAATATTACTATAGGCAGGAAAGAATCAAAAGGCAGCAGGCAAAGAGAGAGGACATCTAAGTAGAAGGCTGGATTCAAAGAGAGGAACAGGATGGAGGAATCAGCTGGCCAATCACAGAAAGGGAAGTGTTAGCGCACAGGTGAGGGGAGACGGGGGTCCCAGACAGATGTGACCCCGCTCACTAGACAGGACTTCTAGAGGACTTCAGATAGATTAAGGCGTGTTGACGCCTACAGGAGACTCTAGTTTCAGCAAGCTCTCAGAGCCATTAAGCAGAACTCACTGAAAGAGTTCGAACACGTCCAAGGTACACGAAGAAATGGCAATGCCTTCATGTCCATGTTCAGTTAATTAGCATATCAGCACTGACACACAGATGAGCGGAAGTCCTTTAAACAATGCAGAATGCCTTTAACCAGACTGACAGAACAGAGCATCGGAGAATCACCACTACAATAACCTAAAGGGCCGCGGCACCGTGGGAGCATCCGAACCTCCATACAGCTATACCACGGAGCCAATGATGTGTGCATGCCACACGTGATTTTGCCAAGACTGGGTTTCTTCAACCCTTCCTGCTGCAGCCCTACACGGGGGAGTTATCTGCATATGAAGGGGAGATAAGACAATCAAGCAGCTGTTAGCTAAGGCATTCCACTTGGCGCAATACGACATATAAAATGGCGGGATAACCCACGTTTTGCGCAGCAAACAGAAAAGCAATAGTTCCCTTTGAACAAATACGATGAATATTCCATGACGTTACTGCAGGGCTGCAAAAAAAAAAAAAAAACAGAAAGAGCGAAGCAATCTTCACATGTTCAGTGTGGAAGTGACCAGTGGTGACGTAGATTTTAAAATAACTTCATGGCCCCACATGTTAGCGAGCAAGTCATAGTCAGAGCTAAATTTACCTAAAGCTTAAGAACGTGAGAGAAAAAAAGTTACAAACCTGGAATGGACACTGGCTATTCCAGACAGGCTTTATGTGTGCTCTCTACTTCCTGAAACGTGTTCCTTCCTGTCTAAAAATGCCTTTCAGTTATCCTTAGCTTTGTTTACTCTTTGTTCGTGATGCCAAAAAATTTATATACTAAAACCAACACAAAATAATCAACTCTGGATTTGGTAATAGTCTGCCTTCTACATTTCCTGAGCTGACTTTCCTTTCTGCTTTCCTGACTTCAATCGGCTGAAACACAAACAAAATACTCAAAACTATTACTTGCTACCCACTAGCAAGAACCTCCATTTCACTTAAAATGTAATTTGCTGTCAAAATTTACTGTCACAGTTGGCTGCTTTAGGCATGAAAAGACAATGAGGCAAAGAAAGAAGGAAATGGTTCTGGTGTGGGCCGGGAGGGGAGGAGACGGCTGTTTTTGATAATCCCGTAGAAGTATATCAAAGTCACCTGGCTGACAGGTCAAGTCCCGTCCCACTATAACAAACTCTGCAGGGAAATAAAAATCATTTATTAATATAAGATATTGACACTATTAGGGCCAGAGCAAAAGGCACCGAGGACCTTAGAAAAAAAAATTAAAATAATTCTCTATTATCGAGTAGAAAGATACCCACGTCCTCTCCCTAATCACAGCTGCTCTAAAGCTCCCACACAAACTGCACAAAGCCACCCTTATACTCTGGTTCTTAAAGCTCTAAGAAAATTCAGACTATCTAAAACAACCCTCCTGTTCCACGAATGAGGACAACAAGGCCCCATCAGGGCTAATTAATGGGAGGACTGGGACCATTACCCAGGCCTTCTTTGAGCCTACTCTCTTATGCGGACTCTGGGGGCCTCTTGTGTCGCTGCATGATCAGAACAGGATTTGACTCAGGTTTGCCAGGGAGCGCTAGCCCCGAGCCCAGCCAGAAACAGCGCTGGTGGTACCCTGACAATGCAGTTAAAGCGGTGGACACAAATATATACTTTTAAATGTAGTACCTGGGGTGACGTGGGGTCACCGAGGAGGCAAGAAAAACAGGTATCTGGCATTTCCAAATCAATATGCCCCTCCTCCCTCTCAACACGACGTTGCTACTTTAAATAAACCAAACACTTATTTTTCTCTTCCCACACCTCTGATCAATGGCTGCTTTAACAAACAAACGTCACTTACAATCATTTATTAAAAAGGGCAGAAGAAAACATATGAA